GAATTCTTCTTGAAGCTCTTAAACGATAATGCTAAAAAAAATTCAGGTTCCATACCCATGGTGGGTACAGCACAAATAGCCCATTGTGTAGCTTTGTGCTTAACAACAAACAAATAAACACACTCTTGAACTGAATTAGGAGTACTCGTTGGATCTCAATATTTCTTTAATAAAGTACTTAAATTTTTGTAATTCTATTTTGTATCATGACAGTAATAACTTTAATAAATTCCGTTTAATAGAACTAATTTGATTAAGCTCAGACATTTGTACTCACTACTTTGAATATATTACATAACATTTTGATCATATTTTTTTCTGAGCTTTCTTTATAGAAACACATTTGCAAGTAAAAAATGTATTTTCTAGCAAAACTTTGAGTATTATTTCACTTATACATGAGGGATCTGATGCTCTTAACATAACTTATGCATTAGAAAGAGCATAAAATTTCAGTTATTAGCTTAGTTTATGATATGGTAAAATAATACATATAAACATAACACTTGCTACTATTAATATAAAAGATTGGATGTTCATCTAATAGAGAAATGTATTAACATTCAAAGGTACGCAAACTATGAGTTGGCCAAACAACAATAGATAATTATAGTGTAATATAATCAGAAACATTCACTGTCTTATTTACCGTATGCATGAAATCTTCATAAACACTTATTGAAATAATCCAAGTATGATCCTGCCGTTACGTCAAAATAACATCAAATTTAATACTGAATTTGTGTTTGTCTCCTTTTTTTTCATGTCTAGATTATTACTTAAAACTTATAATATTATTTATATACAAATAATTAAAAATCTTCCAAAGAATGAATTTGAGAGAAGTAACATAATTCCAAAAATGAAAATAATTGTAGTATTTATTTACTAGCATTGTCTGAATACAGAAATGAGGAAAATATTTCTAATAACTAACAGTAGGGAAGGTGAGAATGTATTAAGAAGAGCTGGATGATTGCGGTGCTAATGAACTTGTGATGTGATTACAACAAAGCTTAATATAAGTATGTTCTGAGTTGCTTAAGACATTTGGTGATATTCTGTTTTTTGTTCACTTTCAGATCCTAAGAAACATACATATCTAGAGCTAGATGGGGCTAAGGTGATTGTACCACAAGGAAAACCCATTACTATGTCTCAGTACAATAAAAGCTGTTTTTCTCAGAGTGAATATTTGGTGTACAAAGAGAGCCAAGCTAGGCTTCGATATCTTCTAAAATTGAAGTTTTGAGATGTAAAATTCTTGTTAGGTCTATTTGAGTGTATAGTGAAACAAATTTTAATAAGGAACACTTAATATACGTATATATATATACACACTTTTTTCTTTTGTTGTTGTAAGTAGCTACCGTTCCAGGATTTTGAAAGTAGGGCAGGGGTGGGAGAGAGGTGTGAGGCAGACAGATCGATTGGGAGAGTCATGAAAGATAAATTACAAACTTTTAAAGTATGATTATTTTTTCTTTGGGGCTCAATGTTACCAAGGTGATCCACAATTAGTAGCTTTCAAATGTTCTCAGTTCTTTCTGTGATTGACTGCAAAGTTAAATGGACTAACTAAATGTAAAGAGTTATGTGATGTGGTATTCTGTGAGTTGTAGTTCTGTTTTGGAAATTTTTGGGTAGGTGGACAAGTATTTAGGTCAGTGCTGACCAACTCTCTCCTCTCCCTAACATTGCCAATGATTCTAAGAGAAAAGTAATTTTAACTATTGTTCTGTTGTTGATAGTTTTTTTTTCTAATTAAGGGTATTAACCTCTGCTAATTAGGTATGTAGATACTTCTAAAGTATCTTTCAGTTTGAAAACCCAGTCAAGTAATATCCATATTATTCTCTTAACAACAGAGAAATCCAAGCATACTTCAATTTTACATTTTATTATATTATATAAACAGATTAGGGAACAGAGAAGACTGTGTGTATGGAAACAGAAAATTTCTAGAATCATGAATTATCTCAAACAGTCATGATTAGATCTTTTTCTCAAAGAAGTTTTTGTTTATGTTTTGTCAAACATGTATTTAATGAATTATATTTAGTGTTTTGCTATTTAAAAATGTTTTCTTTTCTATGATATGATATTAATATTGATTCTTTATATTGTAATTGATTTCAATTCATGGGAATGCTGCTATACATAAATTGTAGTTTTTATAATTTTTATTTGTGTGTGAGAAATAGAAAGTATGTATATATTTTCTGTATTTTCTCTTTGTTAAAATTTGTAAAATCATCAGTTTATTAAGAAGCATTAATTTAGAAAGAAGTTGTAGTCAGTATGTAATATGTAATGTTCCAGAAGTTGTTTTTATAAACATCTTGCTGGATTTAAAATCTTATTCAATAAGCTGATAAGAACCAAGTACTCTTTCTAACTTATCTGTAGAATTAAAGTGCTTGTTCATCTTTTTCATCAATTATTGGATGAGAGATCAGATCTCAAGAATTACTAGTTGTTTATTTTTCTCTGTGATCATGAACAGTCAAGATCAGTACTGATAGTACATATTAGTTTAGTCAACTGCCTTGCACTGGACAAGTTAAGAAAATACACTATAAATATGAATTATTATTTTTGTTGTAATGATTATAGTGCTGTGATATTGTTATTGTATTATTAACCATATAAAATTATGGAATTTTCTGAAACCACTTGATTTATTTTTGAAAGACAGAATGATGCACAGTTATGTAGCCACACAAAATATTGTATGATTTGGATATGTTACTTCTAAAGGCATGTAAATGCTGGGCAAGTTTTGTTACTAATGGATGCCCTTCAACATGGGTTCTGTTAGGTACTGGTTGTTTAGGGGAGCATTTTCAGATTGTAGCCTGCACCTCAGTGACATAACTAGTCAGCTCCTTGGTGGCAAGAGTTTCCTCTGCTACTGCATTGTTTTTTACTTGACAAAAAATTGCATTTATATGCCTGTAGAAGTAAAACATTCAAACAATATCCAAATTGGACAATATTTTGGGTGGGTTCATAGTTGTGATTCATCCTACATATTGTTGTTGACAGTTCTCGTTGAAGTAAATGAATTTATTTCTCTGCCTGAAAATAATTTGTGTGCATTGGTAAGTTTTATTTGATTGTGTAATACACGAATTGGATGCTGGTTTTCAATAACCACTAAGTGTTATATCAAATTGAATAATAAGTATGGGGTTTTACAATGTTTGACAGCACATTTTTATGACTTACATGACTTTTTATGACTTTTATGTTCTGTTCTGTATTGCATCAAGTATAGTTTGTGAGGCTTTATACAATGCAAGATTTTTATATCATTGTCAACAATTTTTTATTGTGAGTGGGTTGCTACATAAAATGATACAATGCATTTTATCTGTTATATCAAACAGCAGATTTGTCAAGATATTCAAGCTTATATTCCATTAACCACAAGTACTTAGTATATCAAGAATTGAGCAGTAGGGTGTTGGTACTGTATCATATTATTTAGTCCTTATGGGAGTTTTTTATTACATATCTACCTTGTACTCAGAGTCTGTAGGTTTTTCACAACATGAAGTGTTAAAGCAAATGTTGACAGTTTTTATTTATGTTGTGTGTTATACAGAAATAAGCTACAAGTTTGCTTGATAAATACTGTGTTACTCCAATAATTCATTAATTACCTATATTGTGCTACAACTCTGTAGACTTTATTGGTATAAAGTGTTATACAATAAATCAGTTGGTTTCATAGTAAATAATGTGTTAGATCAAAATGTTGTATGTTTCTTATAGCATTGTTTTTCAAGGTTCATATATATATATATATATGATATTGTTACGTCTCCGTTCGTTTGTTAATTTTCCGTAAAAATTCTTTCCGAAGAAACTTTTACC